TATTTCAAATATAACCAAATGGGTTATATTTGAAATAAGTGGAAGTGTTTCTTACTTTTCTTTTAAACATGTTGCATTTATTAAAGTACTAAGGTTGAAAAATGCCCAAGATATTGCATACATTTAACAAAATCAATTGAACTCTATTGGAGCTTTCTTTCTGAGAGTACAATGAACACCAATAGCATTCACTTCTGTGTATCAATCACCTTCCTTTCAGTTTCTTAGGCAGAGAAGCAAAATACATGACAGAATTATTATTTAATGTTCCTAATCTCATGCATGCCATTTTAGAGAAATATACAAATGTAATGGTATCCTCAAAGAACTCTGAATTTGAGATTTATTAGTGAATAAGTCAATAATCTTTTTAAACTGTTCAAATTGTTTTAGAGTTGTGTGATCTTTCAATTGTATTCAATATAGTGACAGTTTTTTATTCCTTTAAATAATTTTTATTTAAAAAGTACATATATAATAAAAAATATATTAAAGGAAAGATATAGTAAATCTTAGAGGAAAAGAAAAAAGGAAGGAAGAGGAGAGATTAAAAACAAAGGAGACAAAAAGAAAATAAAAGAACAGAAAACATGAAAAAATAAAGACCTCAAATTGGTAAATTTTCTCTTGGAAATACATATAAAAAATAGTTTAGTAAAACACAATTATATATTGTTGCAGTCAAAAAACGATATCAAAGAAAATGACATGTCAAAGAAAAAGATAACTTTTCAACTGCTTTTCTAAGAGCCTCTTTTACCTCCCTGTTTCTTAGGCTATATATCAGGGGATTGAACAAAGGGGTCATGATAGTGTAAAACAGAGACAAGACTTTGTTGATATTTTGCAAAACATCTGTTTTGGGCAACACATAGACAATGATCATTGTGCCATAAAAAATAGACACCACCATGAGGTGTGAGGAACAAGTTGAGAAAGCTTTTTTCCTCCCACTGACAGACGACATTTTCATTATAGTGGAAATAATGAAAATATAAGAAGCCAAAGTTAAGAAGAAAGGAAACAAGATACACAAAGCGGATAAAGAAATAGTTACAAGTTCAATCAAGTGAGTATCACTGCACGCTATCTTTAATATTGGATGCATTTCACAAAAGAAATGATTGATTTCATTAGGGCCACAGAACTTTAACTGATCCATTAAATATAAAATTATGCTCATAATTATTAAACTATGAATCCATGATCCAGCTGTA